CTAATTAGATAACTAACATTTTGGAAAACAAAGGAAGTAATTTTTAACGATACTTTTCTCCAAAAAGTCTTACTCGTTAACAGAATATCAACTTTGTTATTTTCCTTCTACATATTCGCATTCGATGCAATCTATGTTTTGGCTATCACCCATTCGGTGAAACTACCAAACACCAAATCTCTCTGTTGTATTACATTGACCAATTTCCAAGTAAGATCTAAACATATTCTTCGATTAAAAACCCAAAACAAAATCATGATTTGTATGTAATAAATTTTATATTATATATTATTATGATTTTATAACAAAATATATAGAATATTATGATTTATAAATAATAAAATTTATATTATTTTATTTTTAAAATATTATAATCTTTTAAATTTTATAAGCGGTAGTTTCCCCGGCTATGAAGATCTTGCACCTAAACACCGTATAGACGGATGCTTCAAACGTTTTTAGAACTCTGACGTACCACACAATATTACTTTTTGTCCAATTTTTTAAGTTTACTTCCAAAATAAAGCGTACTTTAATATGTAGCCTACCAAAATGTTGATCAAATAGGTTTCCTGAACCATGGAGTTGTTCTTGAATCCAATATACATAAATTTATTTACTTCTCTTAATTATAAGGAGAATAATTAAGAAAAAAGCTACAAATTAACAAGTTGAAGCAAACCAAGAAAAAAAAAACATGAATTCAAATCAGATTCAAACTAAAATAAAGAAACTATCCCCACTCTGTTTATGGAATTCAAAAGTCACACGATAACACATGAAAGACCTGAAACATTGAACTCTTAAAAATGAAACCTGTTTATTCTTTTTCTTCTCACCTTGAAAAGCCAGGAACCTGAAGCAAACTCGGAACATAGTAGCAACCATCGATTGTTTGATGATCCACAATTGGGAAATATTCAACTTTTTTGGCACTTTTCATTCTCTCCCACATTGTAGATGCTAACAGACTTGGTCTTCAAGTGACGACCAGATACCACAAGCTTACTATTGTTTTCAGTGAAGTAACTTGCATATATACGAAACATCGAAACTCCGGGTATATCAACTGTCATCAGCCAGCTCCAGTGGTTTCTCCTCACCCATATGTGTATCTTACTTGTCTCGCAAGATTTATGTAACAGAGAAAGATGATCTCCTCTGAAAATCCCTAAAAAAAGAGAATCTTCAGACTTGATTAACCCAATGGATGGAGGTAGAAACAAGGGCTCAAATCTTTCTATTGAGAAATCGAAACTCCGTGTCGAAATGGTTGTACCACCATACACATCATAACCTATCCAATAAGGAGTTCCTCTCAAACACACACTTGAAAATGGTAATTGGTAGAACCCATCAAAGGTTTTATCAACAATAACAACTTCCCTCCAATAATCAGAACTGAATTCGTAGACTTCAACCTTTCTAATTCTAGGCTCTTAATAAGAACAACGAAACCTAACCACTCTGTAATCATTACAACTTGATGATGATTGGTTACTAATGTATCCAAGACCAAACACATGCGTAGGATGGTCAAATTCACAACCACGTACGATCCATCTCGCTTGTTTTAACAATGGATTCAAAACTAAAAGTCCACTTTTGGTGACGTATAGCAATAGACCGTCACAATGAAACATTTTGATCACCGATAAATTCGGAAACGAAATAGGTTCAAAAACCTGCATATTCAAACCTGCATGCTCCTTGAGTTCATCGCCAACAAAAGAGACTGTGGAACCGGACAAATAGGGAGCTTTGGAATAGGGAGCGTTGTTGAAGACTGTGAATTGCTTCTCACGGCAACGCATGTGAGAGGAGTGCTTGTTGACGAATCTAGGGTTTGCGATTAGGGTTTTCCACTGCTTGCAAGTGTGTCTTAATCGTGCAAGAGATGTAGCTGGAAGCAATGAGAGTATCTCCTCCACCAAATCAGAGGGAAACTCCATAGCCATCATCTGATTTTTTTTATTGTTCTTTAACCCTATTTTGCCTCTTTATTATATAGACGAAGTTGTAAATGACTAAACCAAGTATAAATCGAAATGCACAATCCCATTTTCCCGAGCTATGCCCTCTTTAATATTTTTTTTTTCTTTCTTCATCTATATATCTACTACTATTTAAGAATTTTTTTTTTATAATGATTTCAGATATTTTTTTAAATAGAATTAGAATATATTTTTTGTCCTACAACAAATGATAAACTTATATTCGTAACAAAATAATCTAATCTCATACAAACATGATAAAGGCTTTACATGCATCATGCTGGAAATTTCTCGTAAGTTTGTTTCTATTAATATATATCTCGTGTCATGTAAAATATGGACTTGGCAAATGGAGAAGTTGGAATGAACTTTGAGAAAGCTTTGATCCTTTCTAAGGAGAGTATGGAGAAGAATCGGATCGGATTCCGTCATGAAGTGGCTTGTTAATGGACAAGCTAGTATTTCGTAGGAGCAAAGAGCTCGATACGCAAGTAAAATAAAAGTTTACAGAAAATGTTTTGAATTAGAATAATAATAAATCAAGACAATTAAAAAGAGAAAATGTTTTGAATTATGGAATGAAGTCGAAGCTGAATTACCTCGGTGAACACATGTGCTGGTTAGGTATCAGTTTTCTCACTTAAAAATTTTGAACATGCTGTATATAAATGTCATGTAACAATTTTGGGGTTATTTAGTTTCGATGTGCAAGAGTAACCACTCCAAGAAGCAATCTTGATGAATCAAATATGCAAAGATGTATATACTTTTGTTAATTAAAAGGAGAAAAATAACACAATTTCAAGTAGAAGAAAAAACCTATAAGTTCACAAGTTGAAGCAAACCAAGAAAACAAAAAAAAAAAAACATTACAACTCTCTTTTTCCCCACTCTGTTTATGGAATTCGAAAGTCAAGACTATAAAAGAACAGAAAACAAGTGAGCTCTTAACAATGGAAA